TGGAAAATTAAATTTGGGCAGCTGCCAACATGATCTGGACCAGCTTTGGCTAACATGTAGAGATTTCAATTTAATCAATTTTTTTCCATGTTAGTGCCTATAGAAGCTAGAAATATGTGTTTTGGCTGTTAGCTGAGAAATCAAATTCTCTCGTTGACTGGGACCATTATTAGATCGAGAATCCAGGTCAAATCATAACAAATAATAACAGTAGTAAATTGTTACCAGCCCCAACACTGTGTAGGACCTAGAGGAATGAAGCAGAAATTAGAAATGTAAACATTTATCAACATCTTCAAACGGTCTTTCTGATCTTTATATAATAATAACTTGCTTGAAATCACTGTCAACTGATGGTCTTGTTTAAGAAACAATAATTCAAACATGATTTTCCTGGAACATAGCTTTTTAAAAAAATCCCCCTTTCAATTTTTGACTCTTGAGTTTTCATTTTCATCTATTGGATCCTTTCCCTGAAGAAATGCAGCAAGGGAAATGTTAAATTCTATCCTCTCCTTCCAGATCTTTTTAAAATTATATATATATGTCTCTCTCTCTATATATAGACATATATATATATAGATATATAGATAGATAGATAGATATAATGCAAAGGAGAAACTTTCCCAGCTTGGATTTATTGGGGCACAGCCAGAAGGCTTCTGAGCACAGCCCCCAGAAAGTGGGTAACAACCGCTTTCAGGGTGCATGCCAGGCTCTGTGGAGGTCCACCGTAGCCCAGTCCTTTCCTAATTTTTTCCCTTTGGGGGAAGTGAGGGAGGGGGAAGTTGTTGCTAGGTTCCTGGGGGGACATGTCGCCTCCCACAAATCACGAACCCTATTCTCTGCCTTTACCAGAGTTTTACAGATCTTATAAACACCTTCCGGAAATTCAACCAATTCGATAAATACTCTTTTTTCAACCTCCACAAAATTGAGGATTTTAAAGCTAATTCAAGGGGTTTTACAAGCCCAACAAATACAGTCGTAAAAATGCCATTGGAAAGATATCACATTTTACAAAATGAGATTGATCCATGCGCTGTAAAAGTCAACTCTCTCAAGGCACACCTCTCAGGCAAACCCAGCACAGGTTTTTCATGTCCTGTCTGGGGAAGGCCAGGCCTGGGACTGCGGTAAAAGCAATTCAGACGATTTAAGTGGTCCTCGTTCTGGGGGCGGCTGACCCGGGCAGGACTCGGACCAGTCCCAGGAAAGGCAGAAAAGAGGACACATCCCAGGACAGTGTGGGGCTGTGGGGCGCCCAGAAACCACGCACATCAATTATCCCGCAGCCTTGGGCCCGGCAGAGCTGCCCTCTATGCCTGGCTGGGCCAGGGCCCCTGGGTCGCTCGCACCTCTGGAATGAGGACAGAGGTTCCACGTCTGGATCTATCTCAGTTCTGAGAGGTCCAGGTGAGGGAGGGCGATTCTCCAGGCGCTGGGCAATGGGAGCAGGTCCCAAGGCTGGCTTCGCAGCTCAGTCTCATGGCCACTCCTCTGTAGTTCCTTTTCTTATTGAAACCAGTGATTTCTGGCCTCTTGTTTTTTGGGTTCAAATGCAGGACGGGGGCGCACAGCTTGTGGGGGCGCTTTGAGGCCAGGCGGTCGTTCGTCTATGGCTTTTGGAGGGGAGCGAGGCCGGACTCAAAGGAGACGTGTTGTCTGTGGGAGGAGGGGCCCGCGGGGGAAGAAACTACGTTTGGCCGCGTCCTGGTCAGCTCCAGGTGAGCCTTCCGCCCTCGGTGGCTGGCAGGCCCAGGCCTGTGGTGGGAGTGGGGAAGGAGAGAAGGAGGGGACGCGCTGATTCCTAAGGCGCAGGAGTGAGGAGCAGGGAGCTCGGGCCTGGTTTCTCAGAGACCTTCTCCAGCCCTGGAACCCGCACCCACGAATAGACGAGTGCGGGGGGAGGGGCAAACTCAGGGCCCCGCCGGGAGGCCAGGCCGCAAAGAGCAAAGCCATCCCTGTCACCGCCCCTCCGGGCACGGGGCTGTCAGGTTTCCTGTTTGGAGAGAAAAACCAGCACAATCCAGCAAAGCAAAAAGGAGGAAAGAGCGGCCCTGGAGGGGCCGGCGGCGCCCTGGCCCGGGTATCCCTACCACGGCCTGATCCTCACGCCTCTGCCCGGGCCGTGCCCGCCGCTGGCGTTCGCGAAGGGAGCCGGGCAGGCCGGCTGTGCGCGCCCATTAATCTGCCGGGCGGGCGGCGGGCAGGCGGGCTGGGGGCTGTTTGTAACTTTGCTGCCTCGGTCGCCGCGGTCCCCGGGGAGCGGGCTCCGGCGCTCGCTCCCATTGGCCACCGCCGCGTCAGCTGGTGCGATTTGCTGCTGTCGCTTTTGGCGTTCGGCCATCCAGAAACAAACCAGTTCGATGACTACTAATAGTTATAGCCAGATGTACTAATACACAACAAATCACAGTCCTGCAGAGGGACGCGCAAATGAGTTCCTATTTTGTGAATCCCACTTTCCCCGGGAGCCTGCCCAGCGGCCAGGACTCCTTCTTGGGCCAGCTGCCCCTCTACCCGGCCGGCTATGACGCGCTGAGGCCCTTCCCGGCCTCGTACGGGGCGTCGAGCCTCCCGGACAAGACGTACACCTCACCTTGTTTCTACCAACAGTCCAACTCGGTCCTGGCCTGCAACCGGGCGTCCTACGAGTACGGGGCCTCGTGTTTCTATTCTGATAAGGACCTCAGTGGCGCCTCGCCCTCGGGCAGTGGCAAGCAGAGGGGCCCCGGGGACTATCTGCACTTTTCTCCCGAGCAGCAGTACAAACCCGACAGCAGCAGCGTGCCGGGCAAAGCCCTCCATGACGAAGGCACCGACCGGAAGTACACGAGTCCTGTTTACCCCTGGATGCAGCGGATGAACTCCTGCGCGGGTAAGGCATTTTCCTGCGGCCCCCCACCCCCCAAGAGAGTGGAGAGAAAGAGGGAAGGAGGCAGAGAAGGAAGGAAGGAAGGAAGGAAGAGAGGAAGTCGACAGAGAAAATGGAAACACAGGAGGAAAGAATGAACCAAGTTTTTGTAGCTTAAAAAAGAGATTTTTTTTTAAAAAGCCCAACTCATTCCCAATGGGGCAGTCAAGCTGTGGTAGAGAGAAGGCAGGGCACCAGTGTCCATATAAGACACTGTGGGAGTGTGTGCGGGGGTCACTGCCATGCTTTGTGAGACCCGTGATGGGCAACCTGAAGAGAGAGCCAGGCTGGATGGGAGGTAGTGCCTGCTCACATTGCAACCTGGTAACACCTTGCTCAGATACCCACCCTGAGATAGTCTTCTGCACCCATCAGTGATAACTCCCCTTCACTTCACAACTGCCCCCCTTTCTGTCCTTCAGAAACGCATATTGATAGAGGCCCTCATTTGGCCTCTTCCAGGGGCTTCCCAAAGCCTTGGAGGGCCACATCCTCAGTATTTTTCTCTCTGCCCTCCCCTCCTCCCCCTTCCACTCAACTGCTCACTTACAGCCAACTTCTGCCTCCTTTTGAGGCCCTGCCTGAATTTCATATACCCAGCATGGGGGGATACCCCCACCTATGGGCCCTTTGGCACCAGAACAGATAGCCCATCACAGTTATGCATTTCCAGGAACCCCAGATGGCCCATAGCTCTATCTTTTGGCCCCTGGTTTCCAAAAACTCCACATCCCTGTCCTTGGAGAAGGACAGAGCCTAATGCCGATTTAAAAACTTAGAGTGTTTTGCTTTAAAATCCACTTTTTTTTTCAATGGAGTTCCGCATTTCTCAAAAGGACCATACAATCTGGGGGAATTTGCAAAGATTTGAGAAGGCTGACCATTTTTAATTTTCCAAAAAGCGTGTTGAGTCCTGACATGGCTGTCCACAGTTATATCTTCACAGAGACCCGTGTGTGAATTTGAATTGTCCACTTTGCTCACAGGGTTCCATACCCACCACTCCCAAATACACACACACACACACACGCACACACACACACACACACACACACACAGAGGAACCACCACCACCACTACCACCACCATCACCACACCATTTGCACAAAAACACGACTTAGGTACCCCGAATTAAGAGAATTAAGAATGCTTGTTATCTTCTTTTGCTTGTAATGGTTTTCTTACAGAGCAGATTTTTCAAAAATAGTAACTTTTGGCCCCAAGTCGTTTTAGGTGGAAAACATCTCGCTTTGTATGAAATAATCTCCCATCCCGCCGGCTTCCGGCTCAAGATGTAGTGGGACAGGCTGGAGTGGAGGCGGGTGTTTTCCAGCCTAGAGGCCAGGGGCGCAGGGTATGGGGCTGACTGGTTCGGCTGCCGGATCCTGGCTTACGGGCGCCTGGCCATCTCTGCCCGCAGGTGCCGTGTACGGGAGTCACGGGCGCCGAGGCCGCCAGACCTACACGCGCTACCAGACGCTGGAGCTGGAGAAGGAGTTCCACTTCAACCGCTACCTGACACGGCGCCGCCGCATCGAGATCGCCAACGCGCTCTGCCTCACCGAGCGCCAGATCAAGATCTGGTTCCAGAACCGCCGCATGAAGTGGAAAAAGGAAAATAAACTCATCAATTCCACACAACCCAGCGGGGAGGAAGCTGAGGCAAAGGCGGGCGAGTAGACGCCTGGGCAGGGACCAGGCCAGCGCGGCAACCTCTTACGGCTTTGCCCCCTTGCCTTCGCCTGCTCCCCAACTTTTCTCCCCGCCTGCTCCCATCTGGGTGGCTTCCACAGCTTTAGGGGAGCCCAGAGCTTTGCAAACGCCTGAGCATTAATTTCTTACAAAAAAACAAAACAAAACAAAAAAACCCACAGCCAATCCCAGCGGCGGAGCGGGGCACACTGCACACACAGTCCCGCTCTCCAAGGCTGCCCAAGTCCGATCCGGATCCCAGGGCGCGCCCCAAATTCGTCCCTGGCTCTCGTGCTAGCGCTTCTGCTTGCGCCTGAGCTCGGGACGCGGGGTTGCTGGAGAGGAAAGAAACCCGGAACCGAGACCCTTTTGGTGTCTAGGCATTTTGGCCTCACCACCAAGTCCCACAGGGAACCACCAAATCGACTCCGGCCAGTGTAAAGAGGAGGCCTAAAGGCTGGGGCCCCAGCACTGCGGTGGCCTCCCAAGCCGCCCCCAGACAGGAAGAAGCACAAGGAACAAAGGGGGCCCTGAGAGAGCCTAGTCTCTCGGCCCTCCGTGCAACCGTCCGTGGAAGAGAAGCAGCCTCAGCCGAGGCCAGCCAACCTGGGCGCGGGTGGAACTTTACAGCCTCGGGAGCGACTGGGCTCCCGAAGGATCCGGACTCTGGATTCTGGCTCCTTGCCTCCAACAGTGTCGGCGCTGCCACTATAGCAGCTTTCAGGACCGAAGGAGGGGGTCCACGGCCATGGGAGTGGCAAGAGTTCTGGTTTCCAAACGTGCCAGGGGCGTCTGTGACTCCCCGCCTCCAGCGGGGAGACCCCCTCCCCGCCAGGCCTTTCGGCTATATTTGTGATTTACTTTCGTCTTTCAGATTCCAGGAAAATAACTACGGAGATACTAGGCATTGCCACGAAATGCTTCTATTAACGCCCTCATTTTACTCCTGGAGGTTTAAGCAAGACCCTAATAAATGGGCTCACGGATCCCCAGCCCCCAAGCAGCTTCTGTGGCTGGGGGGAGCCTGGGCCCGCTCGCCGGGTTCACGGAGAACCCTCAGACTTGGGGCCCGGCTGGCTAGAGGAAAAAGACCCAGTGGTGAAGATTCTCTAGGCTGGATACTTAAAGCAAATTACATAGCAAACTAATGACACGAAAACCATATTTACACGAAAGAAAACTCGAATCTGGTTATAAAAGTGTATGGAATTTGACCTCACCCAGGAGAAGCACTACACAAAAGCTATCTTTAATAGACGCCTGTCATTTAAGAACGGCAGGGACACTGTACCTCATGCGCTCGCAAAAACAGAGCCGTAATTGTAGCTGCTGCTGCGGGCAGGATTTATTTCTCCAATTGGCTAAATGGCCTCCCCACTTCCCCGAAGGTGATATCTGTATTTTCAGATTTCAGAGCTGCCGGCAAGACGGGCAGAACCGACCCCGACCTCGACACAAAAATAAGAGGGGCTGCACAGCGGGGAAATAAAAGTTGTTGTAAATAAAATCCAAGTCACTATCTCCCCCCAGTCCTCTGCATCCTTGCCGGGCACGCGATCGGCAGCTGACGGCCTCACAATTGGTACATCCTAATGGAACTGCGAGGGAAATGCAATAATTTTGCCATAATGGGCTGTAACCTCAATTCGACCCCGGCCCTTGCAGCCCCGGGTCGGAAGCGGAGCGATGCTCCCTGCCTCCAGCGGGTGGCGCTCGAGTCCGACTGAACGGCGGAGGCGGGAGGCGGGCACGCGCCTGAGGCGCGCGCACCACCCCTCTTGCCTCCACCCAACTCCCCCATTAGTGCACGAGTTTACCTCTAGAGGTCATCAGGCAGGATTTACGACTGGACAACAAAAGCACGTGATTCGAAGTCGTACCCCATATTTGGGTGCCTACGTAGGAGGGAACCAAGTACATGTCCCAGTCATTTCCATAATTCATCATAAATTGTGCAAGGGTGCTATAGACGCACAAACGACCGCGAGCCACAAATCAAGCACACATATCAAAAAACAAATGAGCTCTTATTTTGTAAACTCATTTTGCGGTCGCTATCCAAATGGCCCGGACTACCAGTTGCATAATTATGGAGATCATAGTTCCGTGAGCGAGCAATTCAGGGACTCGGCGAGCATGCACTCCGGCAGGTACGGCTACGGCTACAATGGCATGGATCTCAGCGTCGGCCGCTCGGGCTCTGGCCACTTTGGCTCCGGGGAGCGCGCCCGCAGCTACGCGGCCGGCGCCAGCGCGGCGCCCGCCGAGCCCAGGTACAGCCAGCCGGCCACGTCCACGCACTCGCCTCCGCCTGACCCGCTGCCCTGCTCCGCCGTGGCCCCCTCGCCTGGCAGCGACAGCCACCACGGCGGGAAAAACTCCCTGGGCAACTCCAGCGGCGCCTCGGCCAACGCCGGCAGCACCCACATCAGCAGCAGAGAGGGGGTTGGCACAGCGTCCGGAGCCGAGGAGGACGCCCCCGCCAGCAGCGAGCAGGCGAGCGCGCAGAGCGAGCCGAGCCCGGCGCCGCCGGCCCAACCCCAGATCTACCCCTGGATGCGCAAGCTGCACATAAGTCATGGTAAAGCCAGCCTTTTTCTCAATCCACGCGGCCGCGGGGGTGCGGCTCTCGACCCCGCTCTCTCCTTCACCGCCCTCTTCCTCCGTCTCTCTCCTGGTCATGTCTCTCTCTCAGCCCCGTAGAGCCTTTCCCCAGCGGTCTCCTTCCCTGCCTTCCTCCTTCCCCCTTCTCTTCTCTACAGCGCCCTGCGCTCGCTCGGGACGGAGGTAGGGAACAGGGGGAGGGCCGCTGGCCAAGCAAGTTTAGACGTTGAAAGGGAGGAAAAGGAAAAGACCCACGTCGAACCCCAGAGCCTTGGAACGCGCTCCCGGGTCAGGCTAGCCGAGCAGGGGGCAGAGAGGAAGAGGATGGCAGTAGGGGCCGTGAATCGGGCTTGTCAGGGCGGATAATTTATGAGGAGAGCTGCGCTGGGGAAGCAGCGTTACTAATTAGCGTCCCCGAAAAGGGGTTGGAGGGGCAATAATCCAGGCAAGAGCCTGCGGGATTCTGAAGTTTGGGGGCAGGAGGGAGAACAGGAAAGGACAGGGAAGAAAAAGAAAGCAGGCGCCCCAAGCGTGCAGGCTGGAACAGTAGGCGGCTCGCAGGGCTGGAACTTTAAGGGAGGGTGACCTGGAGGCCACTTGGGCGCTCCGAAAAGGGCCTTGCTTTGGTGGGTTTCTGAGCTGTGGACAGCCTGGGAGGGCTATGCCCCCCGCCTCGGGGCTCCAAGGGCAGGGCCAGAGGGCAGGAGAGGGAAAGTCGGGCGATGCTCCGGGATGCAGCTTCAGCCTCGGATGGGCCGATTGTTCCCAGAGTCCAAATCGTATTGTTTTCTTTCTAGAAAGGAAGAGGGAAGGAAATTCGAGAGGGGTGGGCGGGCGAAAAGGGAGGACTTGTTGAGCTTTTCTCCCCTGTTCCCTGCTCAGGACCCTGGCCTATCCAGCTGGTGGACTTCGGTAGCCAGAGGCTGAGGAGTGGGTGGCTAAACCGCTGACTTTTCTGTTGCAGACAACATAGGCGGTCCGGAAGGCAAAAGGGCCCGGACGGCCTACACGCGCTACCAGACCCTGGAGCTGGAGAAGGAGTTCCACTTCAACCGTTACCTGACCCGCCGAAGAAGGATTGAAATAGCACATGCTCTTTGCCTCTCCGAGAGACAAATTAAAATCTGGTTCCAAAACCGGAGAATGAAATGGAAAAAAGATAATAAGCTGAAAAGCATGAGCATGGCGGCGGCAGGAGGGGCCTTCCGCCCCTGAGTATTTGAGCGTTTAAAGTACTGCGCAGTATTAGCGGATCCCGCGTAGTGTCAGTACTAAGGTGACTTTCTGAAACTCCCTTGTGTTCCTTCTGTGAAGAAGCTCTGTTCTCGTTGCCCTAATTCATCTTTTAATCATGAGCCTGTTTATTGCCATTATAGCGCCTGTATAAGTAGATCTGCTTTCCGTTCATCTCTTTGTCCTGAATGGCTTTGTCTTGAAAAAAAAAAAATAGATGTTTTAACTTATTTATATGAAGCAAGCTGTGTTACTTGAAGTAACTATAACAAAAAGAAAAGAGAAAAAACACACAAAAAAGTTCCCCTTCGACCTCGTTTAGTGCCAATGTTGTGTGTCGCACTCCAGTTATTTAACTGTGCATGTGAGTGGAAGTGTTCCTGTCTCAATAGCTCCAAGCTGTTAAAGATATTTTTATTCAAACTACCTATATTCCTTGTGTAATTAATGCTGTTGTAGAGGTGACTTGATGAGACACAACTTAACTTGTTTGACGTGTAGTGACTAGTGGCTCTGTGACGAAAACTGTGACTCCGAGCGGTGTGTCCCTGCGTGCCTTTGTAGGACCCTTTGCACGAACTCTGGAAGTGGCTCTTATAAGCGCAGCTTCAGTGATGTATGTTTTTGTGAACAAAGTTACAAATATTGTCCAAGTCTGGCTGTTTAAGCAAACTGTGATCAGCTTTTTTTTTTTTTTTTTTTTTTTGTATTTGTTTTTAAGGAAAAAAATACTGACTGGAAACAAAAAATAAACTTTCTATTGTAAGTTCTCTTGGTCTGGTTTGTGCCAAATAGTGAGCGGCTCTTTCTGCTCTTCTGTCTGTCAGTCCAGTCCTGGAAGCTGGTGAGTCTGAGGCTACCTGAGCAGCCTGACTGCACAAGGAGACCTCAGACCAACACCCTGACCTGTGGCCTCCCTAACTCTGACCCAACAGAAAGTTCAGGGCAGATGGTGGAAAAGCTGTAGTTGGTTCCAAAGCCTCAGTCCAACCTGCCCATCTATGAGAAAACCAAGGTAACTTGCTGGGTACAAAAAAGAGGAAGAGAGAGGAGGAAAAGCCCAGGGCTTTGTTAGCGGCCCTCGGCCCTCAGGGCCCACACAGATGCTGCCTCTTTCCTAAGGCCATCCTGGGCCTCCACTAGAAGAGGCTGCTCTGCCAAGTTGTGGCCCCCAAACCCTCTTCCCCTAACCCACCCAGGTACCCCTTCCCACTCCTCGCCCTGAACCCACTTGACTTCTTTTGCTACAATTAATTCGCTACAAATGGAAGGTACTTACCCCATCCTAGCTCGATTGGGAAACTCCTCAGAGCAGCTAAAGCGCAACTAGAGATTTGCACATTTACCGACTGCTTACACTGATGCCGTCTTTCCTTTTAAAAGTTATAAAACAGTAAACTTTATAAGCCCCAGTTCCGGCTATATGACATTTGGGTGCCAAATGAATAGGGTTTTGTCTATGAATTAGATCGTAAAATCATCCATAGCACAGACAGATCGGCTCACTGGCTATAAAACGTCACGTGGGGCCATTAAAGTAAGTTTTATGGTTTTGGGGAGTTGACATCCAACATTATATACCACATAACATATAATCTCACTGACGCTGGACTCCATTTGACTCTTTTGCAGGCTACGTGTGCCGCCTGGTCATTCAAATTGTCAATTTTAGGTCCAGAAGTGTCCAAACCACAAGTTCTCAAAACTCTTTGAAAAATGGCTTCCTCGGAGTTAAGGTAAGCTGGCCTCCTGAGCGCTTTCAAGTTTATTTGTACTCTGGAAACTTTTTCCTGGATATCTCTCTCTCGCTCTCTCTCGCTCTCTCTCTCTCTCTTTCTCTCTCTCTCTCTCTCTCTCGCTC